AATATATGACATTAATGCTTTCCTGCTAATGGTCACATATCTCCAAGTGCCCACAAGGAGAGAGGAATCAAGAAGAGAGGAAAATATAAGTGTGTGACCTGTGGGGAAGATTGTTTTTCTGTGAAGTTTGGAAACTTTGCTTCTGAGGCACATCATGCCTTGAGTCAGCCTGGCCTCAGATTTTCTTGGCTGGGAGTGTGTCATTTGTTGTAGAGAAGACTTGTGCAGCAATGGGGTGCTTAATCCTGATTTACCCACACAACTCCTCCTTACCAGGCACCACCTGTTCCCACCAGTCCAGCTCCTATCCACATTGTTCCTCTGTAATTAATTTATCTTTATTATGAATTTGTCTCAGCCTTTTTAATGTGGTAGTGAATCCCATCATTTAACCATGTGCTGTATGAAGAAATAATTTCATTTATCTGTTCTGAATCATCTAATGTTCAGCTTGGATGTCCCCAAGTTGTTGCATTATGATTGAGAGAGAAAACGTCCCCTCATCCTCTTTCTTCTCACCACGCATGGTGGCTATGCTCTGCCATCACAGTCAGAAGCAGTCATGCTTCTGAATACCAGTTGTTGAAAACTACAAAAGGCAAGAGTGTTTGCAGGTTTCCCATAGGCATCTGGTTGGTCACTGTGAGAACAGGAAGCTTGACTGTGGGAACAGGAAGCTCTTATGTTCTTATGCATAATTTTGTTTCCTGTCTGAAACCCTGAAGACCTGAAACCAGTCAGTGTAGACAATACTGAGTTAGATGGACCATTGATACAAGCAATGTCATTTTTCTAGAAAAAGAGGTGCCAAAACTCACCTCATTCTCTTATAATGGCAATGGCGCCCACCTGTGAGGTGCCAGAACTGAGTTCCGGCAAGTTCCAGCTGAAAAAAAAGCCTTGGATATAAGGAAGTTTCCTATGTTTCAACTTACATATTGACTGGGAACGATGCAGATTTACTTGTGTTCTCTATAGGCCACACTTTTTATTATTATTTAGCCATAGAAGGGGATTAGAAAGTGCCAGGTTCACCACAAAGTTCCTTAGAAAGCTCAGAAAGCAACGTTCTATCACCTCCCATCTTTCCCAGTTGTTATTGAATAAAAAGAAAGAAAGGCTGCACTCCAGTGCGTCATGCCATTACACTGTCATGTTTTCACTGGTGCTATCATAGCACACTTCATAAATTATTGCAATAAAAAAGAGCACCAAGGAGAATGCTAAATTCAATGTATCACTCTCAGTTTCATCTCAATTAGCAGCCGCTAAACGGTTAGAGCCAATTCTGCTGGCTTATTTTCACTGCTTTCCTAATAGCCTGATTTACATCAATTGCAGAAGAACAGAAATTTACTTAATTGAGCCTTCACTGTCTAAATGGCAGCTCAACGTCCCAGCAAAACAAACATGTGTTTATGAGGGTTTAAGTAAAATGGTTAAAGCCAGTGAAACAGCACTTAATGCAAAGTCATGCTGGGAAGCTGTTCCATAATCTTACAACACCTGCCACAACGCACATGCAGCTCACGTTCATTTTGCTGGTGGAGCACCTGCGTCTTCTACAGGTCACACAGAAATGAAGGTCTCATGAAGGTGCGTCTGTACTAGCTGCTCATTGGATGCTGCCAAAGCCCACCCACTTCACCTGCCTCCTTTCATTTTCCTTCAGCCTTTTGCTGCTTTTCGTGGCTTGGTGGTAAATTTTGTGGTGCAGGAGCTCATTATGGGCCTCGGTGGCATGGTGGCACGAAGTGCCTTATGTCAGCTTCAGCTGTGGCCCAGTTGCGCCCCCATCTGGACAAAGATAGCCTAACTATTGTTGCCTATGCTCTTGTAACATCTAAATTAGATTACTGCACCATGTTATACCTTATATGTCTGTTTTTGAAGACAGTTTGGAAACTTCAGCTGGTGCAGAATTTAGTGGGTCAAGATGGTTTGAGCATATCAAGCCAATCTTTCCTGGGAGTAAGCCCCACTGAACTTAAGACCCACTTCTGGGTAGATGTACATAGGATTATGCTATAAACCTCAGTGAAATAAAAATCAGATTGCAGCCTCAATTTTCCCCCAGCAAATGTTCCCGAAAGCTCACCAGTGATAAGTAACTCATGTGGGAACCTGATTTATCCTATTACGAAGTAATATGCATTAGCATTTAATGTGATCTTTTAACCACAAATACTGTGATGTTACCCAAAGGGTTTAATGCCCTCTGAAATGGAATAAATGTCACCCAGGCCTTATAGAACATGGATATCTTTATCTCAGTCTATCCTCACATTGCTAATAGTGCAGGAAGTTATATCTTCCAAGCATGATATAAATGAAAGCATAGAAAAGACCTTAGGGGGCAGTAGTGGTGAGAAATAGACATGATTTGCTACATGATTAAGACATCTTGGGGGGAAATCTCTTGAAGCAAAGAAGATTAAAAAGAAAGGGCCTTTCTTAGTTATGCTTCTAGAAGTGCACTCCATCACTGGTAATGCAACTGGCCTTGAAGGACCATCCTTTTTGTTGTTGTTAATTTACAAAAAAATAAAATAAAATGTAAATGATAGCTGAGCAGGACAAGACTTTAGCCACAATTCAGTATGGAGTAAAGTCAGCTTAGGTGAAGAAGCTCCAGTCCTTTCATTAGGCAGAGTGTGTGGCTTCCTCAGGTGACTGGTTTTGGGTAACATTGTTCTTGTTGTTGTTTAGTCATTTAGTCGGGTCCGACTCTTTGTGACCCCATGGACCAGAGCACGCCAGGCACTCCTGTCTTCCACTGCCTCCCGCAGTTTGGTCAGACTCATGTTTGTAGCTTCGAGAACACTGTCCAACCATCTTGTCCTCTGTCGTCCCCTTCTTCTTGTACCCTCAATCTTTCCCAACATCTTTTCCAGGGAGCCTTCTCTTCTCATGATGTGGCCAAAGTATTGGAGCCTCAGCTTCACAATCTGTCCTTCCAGTGAGCACTCAGGGCTGATTTCCTCAAGAATGGATAGGTTTGATCTTCTTGCAGTCCATGGGACTCTCAAGGGTCTCCTCCAGCACCATAATTCAAAAGCATCAATTATTTGGTGATCAGCCTTCTTTATGGTCCAGCTCTCAATTCCATACTTCACTACTGTAACATTAAAGAGCAGCAAATTGTTTGTTGTTGTCGTCTTTTTTTTTATCTGAGGCAAAGGACATTCTGCCTCCCACATGTTCCTGCTGTCCCTGGCAGCTGAATCTTACTTCAGCACTGGCAACAGGACAGTGTCCTCCAGCATACCTGAAGGCAGCAGGCTAGCATATTTATTTATCTAATATTATTTATTACATTTGTATCCTGCCCTTTCTCCTGAAGCTAGCCTGGGGTGGCAGGCACACGGGGGATAAAATGATTAAAACATCTAAAGATAATTTCAGTACAGATGCAGGCTGGGAAAGATCCGCACTGAAAGAGTAGGAACCAAAAAGACAACAGAGATGCTACCTGTCTAAGATTTAATGGGAGGGAATTCTAAAGGGTAGGTGCCATGACACTAGAGGCACAAATTCCTATGATGTGTGGAACAGACCTCCTGATAAGATGGTGTCTGCAGGAGGCCCTCTTCTGCAGAGCACAGCGGTCAGCTGGATATGCAAGTGACGAGATGATCTTTAAGGAATGGGGTGCAAGGCAGACTGTCTTAGGGGTTTAGGGAAGGGAGTGGTGGGCGGCTCGTGCTCCACTTCTAGCTTCTGCTAACGGTAGGGCTGGCCATGGTGGTGCCCACACTCTCTCTTGTGTATCATTCTCTCTTGTGCATCATTGTAGTTCAAGTAGCCATGACAGGCTAAAGTTCAGCCATCTGCCTATGACCTTTATAGTGACAACAGGAGGGTCCGCCACCATAAATCATTTCTTTAGCACAAAAAAAAAAGTTTAAAAAATAGTCGGGTTGGGGTGGGGGGAGATGCATTATTTCCATTCTGGTGTTTGTGTACTCATTTAGATGTAGCCCACATTGAGTTTCGGAATTCTTTGTTGTGGTATTAAATCATCTTCTTGCTGACAGCTCAAATCAGTGCTGCGCACAAAGGAAAGGAAAGTTGTTTTTAAAAGTTTTTCTATTATCCTGACTTTTATTTTATTTTATTTTATTTTTTTCCATTGGGTAAGCAGTCTAACTGGAAGCGGGAGCATAAAACCCCTACTGTATGCAAAAAAATCAAATAAAAAAAATCAAATAAACAAATCCTAAAACAAAAACAACAAAAAAGTTATTTATCTTTTCCGGTGACAAAGCACTGGGAACAGAACTGTGTGTCACTTATATGGAACAAGAACAATCAGAATAGGCTTGTCATAGGAAATAAATCTGACTTTTAATTTATTATTCTTTTTTTACCATTATTATTTGGAAAAGGTGCTGCAATTCTGCAGGTGTGAGAAACTAGCTATGAATTTCCCCTCCCTCAAATCTTTTCCTGATTAGTGGAGGGTATCACAACTGTGATAACCAAGGGGCTAACTACTAATTACATACATACAGTGGTACCTCGGGTTACAGACACTTCAGGTTACAGACTCTGCTAACCCATAAATATTACCTCGGGTTAAGAACTTTGCTTCAGGATGAGAACAGAAATCATGCTCCGGCGGTGCAGTAGCAGTGGGAGGCCCCATTAGCTAAAGTGGTACTTCAGGTTAAGAACAGTTTCAGGTTAAGAACGGACCTCCAGAACGAATTAAGTACTTAACCCGAGGTACCACTGTATTAGAAAGGCAGCTGACGTTGGGGGGGGGGAGTGGGGGAAATGGTGTGCTTAACCCTTTCTCGTCTCCAGCTTCCTCTCACAGCTTTCCCTCTCATAAGAAAGGGTCATGGTCAAGAGGTGAGGTCCAAATAAGAGACCTACTAGGGCCTAGCCCAGCCCTTTCCAACATGGTGCCATCCAACCACAGCCAGCATGCAGAGGGACAAGCAACTCTAGATGGAGTGGAGTCGCTACACTAGGTTCCCGGCAGGTAGGTCACTGTTGCTTACCAGAAGGGAGAGGGGCAAGGTGGTAGGGAGGTCTGCATGATTCAAATGCACTGGTAGGAACACTGACTTGCCTCCACCAATGCAATTGCACTCCACCAGCCACCCCACCTCCTTACCCCTCCCTTCTCCCTCCCAGTAAGCAACTGCAACCCACCTGCTGAGATGCTTGCATAGAAGCTCTGCATCAATCCAGAGAGCTACTTCTGCATGGTGGGGTGGGGGTGGGGCGACGACAGGGGAGTTGTAGTCCAAAATTTCCGGAGGGCACCACATTGGAGAAAGCTGACCTAGACACAGTTCTGAACAATCTCACGTATTTGTCACCTGGAGTGCACTCATAAATGAAATTTGGTTAGCGTAGGTCACTTCAATTATTTACCACAGCCTCACCTTATTCTGTGCTGACAGAAAAGACAACAGGATTCCCTACTTTACAGGCTCAAATGCCATCATTCTGTAAACTCATGGGTTCTTGTCAGGCAATTATGGGTTTCTTAAAGATGTCGTTTTCTTTTAATGTACAAACTTCTGTGTACCTACAGAATTTCCCCAATGCTTCTATGTACCTACAGAATCTTCCAAGAATACAGCGTTGTTTTGTTTCCAAGCTGACAGGCACTCATTGTTAGAGGGAGATACACATAACATCCTATGACTGCCTAGGCAAGGCTTTGTAGTTTGGAGAGAATTTTGAACTACCCAGAGATTAATAAAGGCTGTAGCTCAGTGGCAGAACATCTGATTTGCATTCAGAAGGTCCCACGTTCTTCTCCCAGCATTTGTAGGTAGGCTGAGACTTCCTCCTATCTCAGTGGTTACAAAACTTTTAGGTATATTGACCAACAAGTCCAAATTTACTTGGTATGATGACTCAGAGATTTACTGTCATGTGAATTTTGAACTTTAGGCTTTTGTGGGTTTTTTCTTCTTATTTTTGATTAAGAAATAGGACATTTGGGATTCTGCAATGTGATACAACATTGATAGTAAAAAAAACCCCAATTCTCATCTTCCAAATGGTCCAATATAGGGGTGTGTGTGTGTGTGTGTGTGTGTGTGTTTGCGAATGAGTGAATATGCTATCTATATCTCACTGGACACGCATCACCGTCTCCAACTTTTTTGTTTTTGTCTTACAATATTCCCCAAGGATGTAATGCATTCTACATATCTTGTGTAGTTTATACATCACACACACCTACTCTAGCAAATGTCTCTACTTTGCACAAATGTAGACTTCTGTATCCTGCACAATCAGCTTTAACCTCTTTGCTACCTTTCCTAAATCAAATTAACACATTTCATTTCCCCTTGGATTTTTATATTGAACTATAAAAAGGCCATCAGTTCTACCTGCTCACTGTAAGTAGGATCTATTATACTTAAACATATCCTAACAGATGTCTATTTGATTTGCTTTTAAAATATAAAAATGCATAACAATATCTAATTATGGAAAACATGCACTCATCCAGGTGGTCTGCTCTCTGGTAAGTTCTGGGCTGAGTTACTGCTTTTGAAGATGGTTAAAAAACTGTAACTACAGCAGAACTCGGCAGCTAATTATTGGCTGGGACTAGGCTTTCTGAGCATATGATACTAATATTCACTCAGCTGCACCGGCTGCCAAATAGTTTCTGAGCCCAATTCAAAGTGCCAGTTTTGACCCATAAAGCCTTATACAACTTGGAACCCCAAGACCTTCAGGTCTGCTTTTCCTCCTTTGTTCCTATCTGGACCCAATGATGGCAATCTCTGCGTGTCACCTCCAAGATAAATTGGCGCATGAAGGACGGGGAAGAGAGAACGAGCCTTTTCAGTGGTGCCTCCCCACCTGTGCAATGCTGTCCCCAGGGAAGTTCGCCTGGCACCAACATTGTCAACTTTCCAACATTAAGCAAGTTTGGGCCATTAATATAGCACTGGGTTTGTAGGCAGACTTTGTGTGCACTAGCTGTTCACCTTGTGGTTGGGTGGGGAAGGATCTTTCATTTTATATTTGCCCTTTGTGTTTGAACAATTTTGATGCGTTCTATTTCCTCATGGATATACTGGTAGATATCTTATTTCTTTTGGATTGAAATGCATAGCCTGGAGGCACGTTTGAAGCCTGGCATTTATTCGAAACCAAGTAATTTTACATTAGCCAATGCTAACATCACACCCCTTAGCCTTCTCATTCTACCTGACCTTGGGTAAATAGCCAGAAAGATGAGGAAAGTCAGCCATTGATTAATGCCTATTATATAAGGAAGGAGGCATTAAATGGAGGCAAGCACAAGACTGGCAGGTCAAAAGGGCCCGAAAGTAGTTCCAGCTGGCTCAGAGATTGGAAGATGGGTAACACAGAACAGATAAACAAATTAGTTCCTATAACGCAAGCTTGAGTGACCACGATGCATTCATAAATATTCAGTGGGTCCATCAGTCACACCTGCTGGAAGGAGAACACCTGCTCTTTACTAAACCAATGACCCAGATGTGACAGGGGACACTAGGAAAGAGGTGGATGCATTGCGGCATCTCAGGTCAGCGGCTCAGGTCGCCCTTCTCCCTGGCATTTCACAAAAACAAATGGAGAAAGCACTGCTGTGAAACCAGCATGCAAACGGCATGAAGAGAGGAAATTGATTTTGACTTTTCCTTTCTCTCTCTCCCCCCTCCTCCCCACCCAATTAACAACCACAGGCTGTATTTACAGTTTGCCCAGCTCTGCTGAATTCTGTCCAGATGCACCTGTGTGTGCCAGGCCACCATGAAGCTGCTGGAGCCATTTATGAACATAAAAACACATAAGCAACATTTCTGGATGCTGAGACTTCTCATTCATGGAGCTCACAAAGAGGCCGTAGATTAGGAGAAGGACTGTAGCTCAGTGGCAGAGCACCTGTTTTGCATTCAGGTTCAGGTCCCAGGTAGGGCATCTCCAGGTAGGGATGGGAGAGAACCCTACCTCAAATCCCAGAGAGTCACTGCCGGTCAGTAGAGACAATGCTGAGGTAGATGAACCTCAGTAGAATGCAGCTACCCATGCCCCTATGAAGCTAGATGTCCTGGCCAAGTTAGCTAATTGCATTTCTTTCGCACACTAGACCTTAGTTCATGTTTGACTGTAGAGCGTAAATCCACTTGGGAAAATATTTATCAGGCATCTCCCTCGTCGTTTTCTGCCTGTGAGATATCCTTTGAAGACTTCACTTCCCCCCTCAGATTTATTCATTATTCCAAGCGACTTCACAAGTGACATTTTGTCAATAATCTCTGGTCTTGCAACAAGTTTCCTGTAAATATATGAAGGTCATAGTCATAGGTCATTTGATGGGGTGTGTGTTTACATGACATGTTTTCTCTGTGTTGCTAGAAATTTCCCCTCCCCTGGGAATGGGCCAAGGAAGTGAGAAAGGCTCTTGTGTGTGAAGGTGAATTTATTTGGGATGAAGGTTAGCCTAGCTTTTTCTGTAATATGTTTGGCTTTTCATATGCAGTGGTGTTTTGCCCGTATTGGTTCTGCCAGTCCATCTACACTGCTCAGACCCAGAGGCATAGGAAGCGGGATGTGTGTGTGGGGTGTGGGTGTGTGGACCGCCCTGGGTGTCATTGCTGAGGTGTGTGACATTCTTCCTTTTTTTTCACAATAAATTTTTATTGATTTTCGTTAAACATACATTCATTATACAAATAAATCCCACATATATCTTTGGCTCTGCCGAGCTTCAGACTTCCCTCCATCCCTTCAGTAAGTATCACCTATTTTCTTACACCGCGTATTCTGTTTGTTTATCTGCTTTACCATATGCTGTTAGAGTTAATCTAACCCTCCCAGTGTCTTTAAGGTTTTACAATTGTCTCTTATATACACCAAATATTTACTCCAACTTTCATAAAACTTCTGTTCATCCTGGTCTCGTATTTTTCCTGATAATCTGGCCAGTTCTGCATAATTTATCATTTTAACCTGCCATTCTGTAATAGGAGGTATTGCATCTGTTTTCCAGTTCTGGGCCAGCATAGTTGCCGTAGTGGCATACAGAAAAAGGTTTTTATCTTTCTTTTGTATTTCCTTCCCTGTCAGTCCCAATAGAAAGGCTTCGGGGTTTTTTTGGGAAAGTGTTCTTGAAAACTTTCTTAAGTTCATTGTAAATTAATTCCCAGAAGCCCTTCACTTTACCACAGGTCCACCACATGTGGTAGAGGTCTGAGGGGGGTGACATTCGGTGTGCTGCCCACCCGTGATTCTGAAGTCTGCCTGAGCCGTCAATGTGTGTGTGACAAAAAAAAAATCCACCTGACCTTGCTATGCTTCTGCACAGACCTCCCTGCTTCCTCTTCCCACCTCTTCCAGTAAACAACAATGGCCCACATGTTGGGAAGCTAGAGGAGTGGCCTCACCTGGCAAGCCGCATCTGATTCTGCTTTCACAATTCTAAGGTGGCACAATTTCATGATATGAATAAGCAGTTTGAGTCCTGAAGCTATATCAGAACCTTTCATCTAAATGCTTGGAAGTTTTCTCCCAGAGCTTCTTTTTTCTGCCTCATTTGCAGATAAGGATGGAAGGATCTGTCAATATCAGTTCTCTCAGTTTGGAAGAATGAGAATCTTAAATTCAGTTCTCCGCACTTCTGTAGCTATTTGTGATTTAAATCTTCATGAAAATTCTTCAGCATTTTTGTGCGAATTTCTCCCAATGAACACATTTTTCTAAGCAACCTCTCCTAATACAATGCAGTCCAGCATGTTATTTTCGCAAATATATTCATTTTTAATGCACATTTCCCTGTAATATATGCATTTTTTGTAAATGAAAGTTGGAGAATTGCATTGATAATTTTTGATAAGTGCATGTTTTTAAAGGATGGCTATGTTTTGGAAAGTGCAAAATAACAAAAGATAAAGAACATTTAATTATAGTAGAAGTTTACGCACCAAATGGTAACAAAACAGAATTTTTCAGGAAAGTAGAAGCCAAAACTCCCTTGCAATTTCAATGGATGTGGGGTTGCATTTATCTTGTCATTGATTTATAAGCATTTCTAAACAGCTTAATATTTAAAAATATCCGAGTGGTACTAAAAATGCAACATAAAAACAATGAAACAGCATCATAAGAACAGCAGTACAATATTATAAAAGTATTAAGTCCGA